AAGCCTGCAAGGGATACCTGTTCTGCAGCTCTTTCCCGGGCTGGTCTCGAACAAGAGGTGGTTGGCTGATTGATGTGGTCTTCGGAGTATGGCTCCTAAGTTAATTACAAGACTTAATTTGTTTTGCTCGGTTGAGAAATAAAATTTATTATGACCTCATTGAAGTATTACTCTGAAGCACGCAGTCAACTAAGCCTTCCAGCTGAGGATCGGTGCAGTTATAAGCGTGGCGGTGTTAGTTTTATCTCAAAATACCCCCCCAAAAAATCAGCAGATGCTTTTGGGTGATCTGGAAGCTGCTGTCCTGTGCAGTAATACTTGCCAAAGCCACAAAACGGTGTTGTCCCCCCCACACCCTCCCAAATCCAGATTTTGTTTGCTGCGCGCAGTTGCTGCTTTGGGTTTCAAGCAAAGATTGCATGTGTGGGCCAGGGAGTGTCCAGCACGCTGGGTCCCGAGCTTGACCGGGGCCTTCTATCACTGCTACAGATGCAGAATTGTAAGGAGTTTACTATTCAAAACATGTTATCATTGAGCTTTCCTGTCATGTTAATCTGACTGGTTCAAGTATTGCATGAACTATAAATTTGCTTGTGGCGTGGAATAGTCAACTTGCATTCTCCCGTCTGGGGTTCTCCCTTACACTAATGAGTACAGACAATCTATGCAAACCTCTTCCCTACAGAAAACAGACTTTCCTCTTTTAGTATATCATTTTTTTTATGCCTCCATATTCAGTAACCCTCCTCTTTTTCTGGCATTACATATTCTGCAGGCCATGCTAGGAAGGTCCTCTTTAAAATGCTTGCATCATATCAAAGGAATCTTTCTGTGGGGCCTTTAAGTAGTGGCAGTTTCAAACCTACATTGTTTCAAACGAGTTTATTGTTTTTAGCCTTTTATTACATTTTGATTACAGCAAGAGCCGCTCACCTCTATAAAAACAAATACAAAATGTATTCTGCAAATAAACAGTGATTATAATGCAGCAGGAAGGGTGCTTGCAAGCAGTGGATGTGTGGCTCTGCCTGCTTGCTGGATGAATATGATAAAAGGTTTAAACTGCTTTTTAGATGGGGGAAAAAAGTTTGTTTTGTCCTAGAAACATGAGGAAAAGCACATCTCACCCTCCCTGGTTTGTTTTTTTTCTGGGGATCTTTTTTGAGGGCCAGATTCCAGGTGGAAATCTGTCTTCCAGAGTGTTGGAGAGTTGGTTCATAAAGGAAGTAACCCGAGAGTTGGAAAGCCTTTGATGAAAAGCTCCCTCCCTTCCATTTGCTGAAGTTTTGCTTTCTTTAATTATGACATCACATGAACATGCAAATTCCCCAGTCCAGCATCTTCCACGAAAACAATGCAGAGGAGACAAGACCTGCATGTCTAATGTGAAAAACAAGCAAACCTGATTCCTCCGCTTCCTCCTATTTTTTGTGGAAGAAGCTTTCAAGCTCACTTTATGCAGCGGCAGTTGATACAAAGGAGACATGCACAGCGGTTTCTTCTGCAGTTCTTGCTACTGGGTTCTCCAAAATAAAATCAGAAGAATAAGAAATCTGTTGCTTTTGTCTTTTGCTGCAGTGTTTAACAGCCCATGGTAACATAAAGGATGGAGGCTAGATAGGATGGCATAGTTATTAATGGGCCCCTTATAAAACATCTATTCTTTTTGGATTTTAGGGTTCTCCTGTCTTTAAGCAGGCTTCTTCCTTCATCTTACTCCGCAGTTTACTTGTAAAGAGGTGAATAAGCAGCACGCCGGTGTGCTGTTCCTCTCCTGGTAACATCCTCCAGAAGGACGCTCCTCTTCACGCGTGCCTTAATATCAGAGTGTACTAACCCCAGCCTTCTCTAAGATTCAGCCAGGTTCAAAGGAGCTGCCAAAACCAACGGCTAGAAGCTAGTTTTGTTCTCAGTAAGGAACGTCTTGGTTCCCTATCGTCTTCCTCACTCAGTCGGAGCGTTATCTCTGTGTAGTAGTAGCTCACCATTATGAACTAATGCTTTGGTTATACACGCGCGTAAGGGCTTGCCTGGTGCAGATGCTTTGATGCTTCCAGGCCTGAGCTCTAACTTCTAGTCTCTTTGGATCAAATCTCCTTCTGACACTGACTGGGCTAAATATCTACAAGCAGTGTGGGCAAGGGGCTAGCTTCCTCCTGCATGCTGCAGCCACTGGTAGCTAAAGGATCTCACCTAGATGCAGTAAGGGCATCTGGCTAATGAGGAATATTACTGCTGATGGTCCTTGTCCTGATATTTTCAAGAACCTCATTTTGTTCTATGGTCGGTGTCGTCTCCCCCCCCCCCCCCCGGCACAAGAAAGTACTGTTTCTTGCTTCTTGAGGTCTCAGTTGTACCCTGTCCAGCTGAGCATGTGGGTGAATTGAATGCTTTATTGGGGAGCAGACAGGGTTCTTCGGGTAAATCCTGTATCTTTTATTAGACCAACTCAAATATTGGGGGAGCAGTTTGTCTCAGTTCTCCGGTTGGTTGTCAGGGCAGCCACTACCCAGGGTATCAGGAGATTGTCCTACTTTCCTCTCTCACATCCGAGAGCCTCAGAACTTCGTACAGCGGACACCTGACATTCGTTCCCTTTGTGCTCTGGCCAACAGGCACAGCCAGCCAACAGATCCTCTTTTAATAAAGGAAATGTTACTTGAAACTTGAGTGTTTTTCTCTCTGTCAGCTTCTGTTGGAAAGCAGAAAGCCTAATCCACTCTTCTGAACTGCTAAAAGAACAGAGACGTCAAATTGCTGGGTATGAAATTATGCTGCTTGTTCATTTACCAGCAGGAAATGGTGTGTAAGAGGTTTTGGATCCTACAAAGAGCATTCGTCTTTGTGTGCGCAAATTTAGCACTCGCCGAAGGTGTCAGGTTGACAGGCTCAGAGATGGTGGAGGCTGGAATTTTACTTATCCTCAGAGCAGGTATGGTGCAGGCTGTGATAATGTGAGATTCCTCATCTCGAGCCACTACATCCCTGGTACCCTTCAGAGACCGCCTCTAGAGGCAAGAAGCTTGCTCGTTCTACATTCCTGCCAAATTGTCCTTTCTGCTGGAAAGAGCCCGGGGGGGTTAATGCAGTTAATGCCAACTCTGGTGGTGGTTTTTATGATGGATGCCTATCTTCAGAGGCGGACATAGACATCATCTTGCTCCTTCCATATATGCTGGAGCAGGAGCTACTTTCAGTCACCTCCCATTGGGGCTGGATTCAGACTGGTGAGATGAAAGGTTCCATATCTCGCTTTTGCAACCCGCTGAGTAACGCAGCCCCCATAAAAGAGGTTTCAACACTGTTCCTCCTGGTGCTAGGAGATACTGCTTAGGCAGAATGTGATAGAGCTAATTGGTGCCACTGCCTTGAGTGAGCTTGACGCTGTGTGGCAACTTGAAAAAAAAAACATAAAACTTCACATTAGCTTATGTACATGTCTCGCCTTTTATCCCAGGCCTCGAAGCACTTTACATCTTCTGAAGGAGGTCAGGCTGCATGGCGTCTGGTGTGCAGAACTGGGAGTCATGCAGAAGCCCTTAGCAGTGCTAAGAAAACTGGGATTGAAGAAGCAGCAGGAGAAGGCTGGAGGTGTCCGTTTGTTATTTTCACACCCTCCCACCCAAGCTCTTTGTGGGGTCTGCACGCCGTGCTGATGCAGTGGAGCTCCTTCCTCTTTACGTTGGCTTCCAGAGGCACCTGGCAGTGGAGATGAGGCTGGCAGAAGGACTCCCATGACATTGCATTGTCCTGGAGACTGTAGCAGGGAGCAAGAGGCCCTAGATATTGTGGAGAGGCATGTGGCATCTCTTATCTTCCAGTAATCCATGTAGTTGAGTAGGGGTGGGAGCCCTGAGAGAGAGAGACAGCTCAAGGCTACGAGTCTAGGCTGCCCAGTTCCCCTTTATTGCCGCAGGTGGCAATAAAGCAGCCAAGGGGGTCTATTCCAGGCTCTGGGGACTCTCAGTCTACTGAGTTCAGGTAGGATTGGAGTGAATGTTAAAACTCCTTTTAGATTGGATAGTATTTTAGAAAGGAAATTGTTTTAGTTGAACTCTTCCGTGCCCATTTCTTCTTTATTGGGAAAGTCTTCTTTAATGCTCCCTCTAATTTGTCTTGTTACCAGTCTGCATCATCTACTGTTATGAATAAAATATATTTCCTTCATAAAAGGATTTTATAGGTGAAGTGAATGAACATTTCTGTGCTTGCTTTCTCTTTTCTTCTGCACTTGATTTGCATATATTTCATACTCTTGCCGTATCCTAAATTAGATTCCGATCTATGTACAGTTACTCAAATGGGTAACATTGCTCGCGGGAAGTTCCATAAGAGTCTCTTTCTGCAGTGGCTTTTGGGTTAGTATCTGGAGTAATAGATCAGACTTGGTACGGGAGTGTGGCCATGGGATTTGCTGTGGAAGGGGGTGGTGTCCTCCATGCATTCTCCATTTTTTAAATTTTAATTTTTAAAAATTAAATGTAATTGATGCTGAATTTCTTCTCTGCCGCATCCATATGCCATAGAATTGGGGCTTAGCTTGCTGTGGAAAGCACAGGGACTTCATTGTTACTGAGGCAGATGCTTGGACAGCAGTCAGGAAGGATGCACAAGGCTGCAGGTAGTTAGGTAGGATGGGTAATAAAGTTATTAAAAGGTAAAACCTCCAAAGTCCATGTGGCTTTCCCCACCGTCTGCATGGTGAGGCTGGGCTCTGCCAGCGCACAGGAGGGTGTGAGGAAGGAGTGCAGAATTAATGCCAATTGTTGCCCCACTGGCTGAGGGGTTGGGATTACTTGGGGCCTTGCTGCATTATTTTCACTAGGAGGAATAAATAGTTATATGAATCAGGCATTTCTTTGCTGTAGATCTGCTTATTTGCTGAGAATGATCACAACTTTGTTTCCCTGAATGCAGAAACAAAGGGCAGGTGGGTTCCTCGGCCATTCTCACTTGGTCTTTGCTGGCTTTCTCTTGCAGGTTTGCGCTGGGTCCTAGGGAAATCCATCACACAGCTCAACTCTGCTCAGATTTTGCCGTGCAGTTGATTGCCTTGGGCGGTAGTGTCTTTTGTCTCTAGCTATCATTCTCCATAAAGAGGCTTGATTGCACCTTCCATTCACCATGAAAGAAATGTGATTAGCACACCCATTGGCTTTGACCAGATCTGTGATTGCCTTTGATCAGACTTGCTTGATGGCGGCCATTATCACCTTCCAGCATAATAATATTTTAACAAACTTTTCTCTGCAATGGGATCTCTTAATGTGTTGCTCAAAGGCCACTTCTATGCTAAGAGAATGACCCTCTTGTCACAATGATTGTCAGCAGCTCAAACTCCCCCAGCCAGATCCAAAAGCTGGTGTTGACAACAGTTTAAATGTAAGTATAGAAGATGACACCATTTTCAGCTGTCTTGAAAGCCTAATTGAGAACATGTTCTACCAGGTCTCAGCCAAACTTCCCTTAAGCCATTTTGTCCAATCTATTCTAGCAGTTGCTAATTTTTCATGTTAGCTGGGATAGGGATCATTGCTGATATATTCCTTTTGTTCATCTCCCTACTGTGAATGAGTCTGGAGAGCTTTTGGACTGAGGAATTCTGCCCCCCAGGTCTTGATTCTGCAAAGAACATGAAATAAAGGTGAGCCGTTGGGGGCCGGGTGCGACCCTACTTGAGCTGCAATTGCCCATTTCATTCTTATAACACTTTACAATTTTGGCTCTGTGCATTTTGGTAACTTAGAATCCTCCCTTTATCTCTTTAGTCCAGATAAAGGCAACACAGTTCCTGTTATCCAGGTTCTTCCAATTGGTAAAGCCAGTATATAACATTATTTAATGACTTCTGAAAATAATTCCAGCACAATTTTGGCCTGTATACCCTGGGTCTCAGAGTGCACTGATTGAACATTGTTTGAGCATTGTTTCACAAGCAGTTCCATCAAGTCTAGACGGTGGTCTGCATCTTTGAGTCCTTATTTTTAGGATAATTATTAATGCCCCAAAATGGGAAAGGAGCCAGCTCATCTTTTCTCCAGAAAGAACCTGCTATACACTTAAAAATAAACAGTTGGTGCATTCATTTGCATCATTTTTGTATGTACAATGACATATTGACTTAATCTGTCTGAGAGGAAGTTTAAGCACCGACATGCCAGAGTCCCTGATTTGATTAGTATTTTAGTGAACCTTCTGTGCAAAGAGATCTGATGTGTTTACTGAATATATTCCATCGAAAGTAATTTCACTCTTCAGTCCTATAAGTACTTGCAGGTGTTGCTATTAAAAGAGCATGTAAATCTGAGCATAATTCTGACTCGTATGCTTTCGTCTTATCTCTTTTTTCTTATGTCCATCAATTTGATATAGGGAGGAAAAACAAATGAGAGAGAGAGAGAGGTTAGCTTGGGGGAGATGGTTTCACCTTAGTCCTTTGTCCTGCTTCTTCCTCTGTGTGTGTGTGTCAAGCAGGGGTGGGCAATTATTTGGGCTGGAGGGCCACTTACAGAGTTGCGGTGAGCTGTTGTGGGCCAGGAGGGGTGTTGACCTGGGAGGGGGGCAATTGATCTTATCTGTCCCTGGGCCCATCTGCCTCACACGCACCACCGGTGGCTGGATGGAGTGGGCTGGCAGGGTCTTTATGGAGACTGCCCTGTGACCCCTGTGGGCAGGGTGTGCTTAGTTGAGTGGATGAGATTGGCCTGCAGGTTCCTGGGCATGGGACCAGAATTGCAGGGCAGTGACAGCGCGGGGCTGGGGCCCAAGGCAGAGCCATGGTCCGTTCCCACACGTCCCTGCCCATGGAACTGGTGCCCGTCACAGGGATATGCAGGGAGCGGATTGCAGCTCTGCCCTGGGTCCCGTCCCGCGCTGTCACCACGCCGCGATCCCGACCTGCTCCTGGATGCTACTCCCTGCCCACCCACAGTCCCATCACATCTGCCTGGCAGGGGTCCATGGAGACCCTGCCTACCTGGTCTCTTCATCTGGTGCCCCTGGCAGTGGGTGCTCTGTAGTCTGGCTGTGGCTGCTGGGCTGAGTGAGTCGCCGCTATGGGGATATCAGGAAGCCGAGTGCGGCCACTGTGACACCCTGGCCCTGCCACACACCAAGGGTCGTCGGGACCAGCTGCATGTGCCATAGCCCGGGCTTGCCCCCATACCTGGGCCAGGTGGGGCCGAGGGCTGGATATAATCCCTTTGTAGGCTGGATTTTGCTCACTCCCATTGTAAAGCATCTAATGGGGCTTTGCTCCCATTATTGCTACTGCAATATCAGTATTTAAAACTATGTGCACTATCAGCTGCGTACCATTGAGAGGCATTCAAAGGTTAGCACAAGGCATGTAAAATCATGGTTTTCATTCACATCTGAATGAATCCAGAGCGTGTCTAACAGCATGCCGCTTGTTTGTCTCTTTTCTGTTACTCAAAATTTGAATGACCCTTGTACTTATAAATTTGAGACTATTTTAACACCCTGGTTTAAAAAATACATTGGTCCTGGTGTGTTTACACAAAATCATATCTACTTAAGCTGAGCAAAGAAAACCTGAAAATAAAATCAAATCATTTGGCGTGCATGTTAAAAACTTGCTAATAGTTCTTGGACTGATGGGAATCTTGTGTTGAGCAGTAATACGATTAAATGGATTAAAGCATCTTGAGAAAATACAGCAAACGGGGACTATTTTGGGCCAAGAACTGTACCAAAATAGCGCTGGATATGGCTAAATGTTGAGATCGTGTTCTCTGCTCTCAAATCACGCTCGTACTTTCTGGTACATAGCAGAATACATCGACAACCGTTACTTGGTAAGCCCCAAACCTGTAATGAAGGTGAATTCAAGAAAGCAGGTCGTAGTGGCTGTTTCATGCTTTGCCTTGGGGTGTTATGTTGCTCCAGAGCGTTCACAGTTCATATGAAAGCGGCATCAAAGCTACTGCAATAAACCTTTATTTTTGGTAAAATTATAAGTTAACATTTACATTTCTTCAAGGCTGAATGTCTGATTCTTGGGGAGGTGGAAGTACCCCATATTTCCAAGACAGGATTTAAAGAAGCCAATATTGCTTTGTTTGCTTGCAGTTGTGTTTCAGGACGCCTCATGAGCATGGATTTTAACCGGGAGTGCATGGCTCTTGGAGTGACTACCCTTGTTTCAAATAGGATTTCAAGATGCAATGTTAGTTCGTGTCGGTTAAAAGCTGTTAACGTATCCTAAGAACTTTTTTTTCGAGGCATGTGCTGCCTTTGACCTGTGTTAAACTGCTCGATTTGGAAAGCATAGCTCTCCCTGGTGTTGTACCAGCTAGTGTCCTTTAATACCATTTCTTAAAGTGGAGAATGTGCTGAGCCTAGGCAGGGCAAGCGATGTTTGAAAACACACGAGTTGGCATGGGTCATCCCGGGACTGTCTCTGAGGCCTCGGAGTCAGCTAACCATTTTTGTACATGGCTTGTCTTGGCCTTGCTTGATGCAGGCTGCTGTTGTGGTCATAGGAGGTCAATCGCACAAGACAGTACATTTGAAAACCATCCCTAGGTTTCCAGTCCAGACAAGCCCATAAACTATCAAGCTCTTCACTACCCAGGACCTCCTTACACGATCTTTTTTGCTCATTCTTGTTCATTAAGATCTCTGTTTAGAGAAATTCCCGTAGTTCTTGATGATTTGGAAGTGAGCATTCATCATTCTCTCTATTGCTATTCACTTGCTGCTTAAGAGATCTCTCTCAACATTGTTAGACAGAGAGAAATGTGGCCAAAAATGTTGTCATTATGAGAGACTAACCTTGCAGATAGAGAATAGAAAACACCAGGACTGAAGAGCCCAGGTAGTTGAGTGTGGAGGAGGCTTGGGATTTCTTTAAGTCAAAGGTGCAAAAGCTCTCTGGAGCTTGTACCCCAGGCAAGGGGAAAAACTTGAAGGGAAGGTTTCTAACCTAACTGGCTGAATAACCATCTCACCTGCACTTAGGAGTAAGGGGCCAGCCCAGATGGAGCAGGAAAGGGGATTTTTCCGGGAAGGAAATTCTCTTGGAATCTGGATGTAGTGTGGGGAAAGGACAGTTGCCAGAGTTGAACTAAATTCATTTTCAAGGAAATCAAAGCAGATACAAAACGGCTTTTCAGTCCTATTAATTTCAGTATTAAACGCACTGCTTAAACTGATTCAGGGGAGTATGCTGAATTGTGTGGGAAATGGCCTGTTTTCAGTTTTTTACACTTCGTTAACAGGATGGCTTCACTCAGAGCTTGCACTCATCCTCTGCTCAGCTGGTCTCCCCTCCTTGAGGCTCCCTGATACTCCGAACACCTTGCTTCTAATAGTAGCCTTAACATCGCCTGGGCCTACCCGGTCTTAGTGCTGCTAATAGCACAGTACTGACAAGACGTGATGAGCTGGAAGGATCTCCCCTCGTCTCTCCAATTGCCGAAGGAGCCCACTGTATGGGTCTTAAGTGATGGCTGGACTTCAGTAAAGCCTTTGACATGGAGTCACGTGGGAAATCAGAATTGAGTGTGCGTGTAAGGAGCCGACTACAAGGAAGTCACCAATAGGTTGTATTGAAAAAGCATGCTGGGGCTGGAGGGCAGGTTCTCATGTAGTTGCTCAAGGATCGGTCTCATTTTTATCAGTGACCTTGGCACAAAAAGTAGGAGCGTGCCAATGAAATGTGCTGATAACACAGTTGGGAGGCTCTGTCAGTACAGCGGAGGATTTAAATATCCTACAGGAAGGACTGGGTGAACTTGAGGACTGTAGTCCTCTAAATGGGATGAAATCTTAATGCTACCAAGTGCTCAAACTAGCACTGAGGGACTCGTACAAAGCATCTCTAAAAAGCTGGCAGCTCAGCGGTTGGAAAAGACGGAGGACAAGAGAGACCTGGGCATGCAAGTTGATCAGAGGATGACTGTGAGCCACCAGTGTGATGTGGCTGTGAAAGTCGGCGTGATTGTAGCGTGCTTCAGGTCAAGCACTTTGGGTAGAGGTAGATACGTGTTACTGTAATTGGACAAGTTAATGGTGAACCTGTATCTGCAGTACTATGGCATGGTGCTGGTCTCCCCCCAGCACAAGACAGATGAATTCAAACTGGAGCAGTGAGATCAGGGAGCTGAGAGCTGTTTTATGAACATAGACTAAAAGGCAGCAGCTTGTTTAGTCTAAGCAGAATAAAGGCCAAGAAGGGGATATGATTGCTGCCTACAAATATATTGGGGTTAAAATCACCAGGCAAGGCTTTCCATCAGACATAATGACATTGTTCCAAATGAAATGCAGTCTTTGTTGCCATCTTGAGATGCCCTAATAACTATTAAAAACAGCAGAGACAAATGGAAAGGATGCAGAGAAGGAATCCAGCCCTGGTGAACTTGTTGGGGATGTGTTTTTTTCCACTAGGCAAAAAGGAGAACAAAGGCAGGGTTTGTTTTTGATGCACCCTCTCACCATATGTTATTTAGTAAGTTGTTCTGTTGGGTCATGTGAGGATAGGAGTGCTAAATACTCCACTTGAGCTGGACTAAAGCAGGACCGATTGCCTTTTCTTTATCACAGCCAAGGAGAGGTGTTGTAGAAATGTGTGGAACCGTAGCTGCTCGATGTACTCCTCCTATGGACGCTGATAAGTGA